TGCTTTGATTGGCTACTATTTACCGGATATTCAATTATCTCAAAGGGGGCGTATTGAAAAAATATCAATAAAAGTCGCAGGCTCTATATAATAGAGCCTGTGAGCAGGCTAACGGCCCTGCAAACGTATCTCTTTTCACGACCGAACAAGACTGAGCACAATTCTTCAATTCATGACAATTCTTTAATAACTTCGTTTTTGTTTTGTCTTTGAACATTCCTTTTAATTGATTCTTAATAAACTTATAATTTCTTTATTATTTGCTTTCTTCCCTGCGATGCTATTCAGGTTTTCGCCTTATGAATAATGCATGAATTGTCTAGTTGTGCTCAGGCTTTTATACGCTCTGCTAGGGAAAGAAACTACAAAACTACGACTCATTTTCCCTGTACGCAATACAGTTCGTTAAAGCAAGTTTCAGCAAACCACAAATCGTCCAACGCCACGCCGAGTCATGTCCACTACGTTAGTTGTGGGACTACTTCATCTTTAAAACTATTTGCTCACTCCTGCATGTAAGCTATCTTTAATTAATAATGTGAATTAGCTATATAGTATAATAAGAGTGAATATATATGTAAAATTACATGCCATAGCAACTAACTATACGCCCAATTCAAGACACTCTTAGACTTGGAGAAAAATGTCGAAGTATCCAAACCCGAGTACGTTATAAAGAGCTTGATTTTTTTACAATTTTTAACGTATTTTCCTTTAATTAATAGCCAGCTTAAGCAAGCCACGTTTTTATGAACATGGACGTCAGATTGCCGAGAGGGGACTGGATTAAAAACTGTGTTTGTGTCAGTTTGAGGTAATCTTCAACACATACTGTATGACAAAAGATTTTTAAACTTTCCTGCTTTCTCACACGAGCGCTATGATGCAAAATGGCGCCAAAATTAGTTCTACCAATTTTCGGGTGACGTTCGTGTTGACAAAAACGTCGCTTCAACTCACTAATACCAAAACAAGACGCACATATAGCCAGACCCTCTGACAGGAATCGAACCTGCGGCCCTATTTACCCATACACTTTACATTGGCACCACCTAAGTGGCACATGAATTTTCAGTTAGAGCTTGACAACTTGACTCTGTAGCTCAGTTGGTTAGAGCTCGACAACTGTTTCTCTGTAGCTCAGTTGGTTAGAGCTCGACAACTGTCTCTCTGTAGCTCAGTTGGTTAGAGCTTGACAACTGTCTCTCTGTAGCTCCGTTGGTTAGAGCTCGACAACTGTTTTTCTGTAGCTCAGTTGGTTAGAGCTCGACAACTGTCTTTCTGTAGCTCAGTTGGTTAGAGCTCAACAACTGTCTCTCTGTAGCTCAGTTGGTTAGAGCTCGACAACTGTCTCTCTGTAGCTCAGTTGGTTAGAGCTCGACAACTGTCTCTCTGTAGCTCAGCTGGTTAGAGCTCGACAACTGTCTCTCTGTAGCTCAGTTGGTTAGAGCTCGACAACTGTCTCTCTGTAGCTCAGCTGGTTAGAGCTCGACAACTGTCTCTCTGTAGCTCAGTTGGTTAGAGCTCGACAACTGTCTCTCTGTAGCTCAGTTGGTTAGAGCTCGACAACTGTCTCTCTGTAGCTCAGTTGGTTAGAGCTCGACAACTGTCTCTCTGTAGCTCAGTTGGTTAGAGCTCGACAACTGTCTTTCTGTAGCTCAGTTGGTTAGAGCTCGACAACTGTCTCTCTGTAGCTCAGTTGGTTAGAGCTCGACAACTGTCTCTCTGTAGCTCAGTTGGTTAGAGCTCGACAACTGTCTCTCTGTAGCTCAGTTGGTTAGAGCTCGACAACTGTCTCTCTGTAGCTCAGTTGGTTAGAGCTCGACAACTGTCTCTCTGTAGCTCAGTTGGTTAGACCTCGACAACTGTCTCTCTGTAGCTCAGTTGGTTAGAGCTCGACAACTGTCTCTCTGTAGCTCAGTTGGTTAGAGCTCGACAACTGTCTCTCTGTAGCTCAGTTGGTTAGAGCTCGACAACTGTCTCTCTGTAGCTCAGTTGGTTAGAGCTCGACAACTGTCTCTCTGTAGCTCAGTTGGTTAGAGCTCGACAACTGTCTCTCTGTAGCTCAGTTGGTTAGAGCTCGACAACTGTCTCTCTGTAGCTCAGTTGGTTAGAGCTCGACAACTGTCTCTCTGTAGCTCAGTTGGTTAGAGCTCGACAACTGTCTCTCTGTAGCTCAGTTGGTTAGAGCTCGACAACTGTTTCTCTGTAGCTCAGTTGGTTAGAGCTCGACAACTGTCTCTCTGTAGCTCAGTTGGTTAGAGCTCGACAACTGTCTCTCTGTAGCTCAGTTGGTTAGAGTTCGACAACTGTCTCTCTGTAGCTCAGTTGGTTAGAGCTCGACAACTGTCTCTCTGTAGCTCAGTTGGTTAGAGCTCGACAACTGTCTCTCTGTAGCTCAGTTGGTTAGAGCTCGACAACTGTCTCTCTGTAGCTCAGTTGGTTAGAGCTCGACAACTGTCTCTCTGTAGTCCAGTTGGTTAGAGCTCGACAACGGTCTCTCTATAGCTCAGTTGGTTAGAGCTCGACAACTGTCTCTCTGTAGCCCAGTTGGTTAGAGCTCGACAACTGTCTCTCTGTAGCTCAGTTGGTTAGAGCTCGACATCTGTGTCTCTGTAGCTCAGTTGGTTAGAGCTCGACAACTGTCTCTCTGTAGCTCAGTTGGTTAGAGATCGACAACTGTCTCTGTAGCTCAGTTGGTTAGAGCCGACAACTGTCTCTCTGTAGCTCAGTTGGTTAGAGCTCGACAACTGCCCTCTGTAGCTCAGTTGATTAGAGCTTGACAACTGTCTCTCTGTAGCTCAGTTGGTTAGAGTTCGACAACTGCCCTCTGTAGCTCAGTTGATTAGAGCTTGACAACTGTCTCTCTGTAGTTCAGTTGGTTAGAGCTTGACAACTGTCTCTCTGTAGTTCAGTTGGTTAGAGCTTGACAACTGTCTCTCTGTAGTTCAGTTGGTTAGAGCTCCACAACTGTCTCTCTGTAGTTCAGTTGGTTAGAGCTTCACAACTGTCTCTCTGTAGTTCAGTTGGTTAGAGCTTGACAACTGTCTCTCTGTAGTTCAGTTGGTTAGAGCTTGACAACTGTCTCTCTGTAGTTCAGTTGGTTAGAGCTCCACAACTGTCTCTCTGTAGTTCAGTTGGTTAGAGCTTCACAACTGTCTCTCTGTAGTTCAGTTGGTTAGAGCTCGACAACTGTCTCTCTGTAGTTCAGTTGGTTAGAGCTTGACAACTGTCTCTCTGTAGTTCAGTTGGTTAGAGCTCCACAACTGTCTCTCTGTAGTTCAGTTGGTTAGAGCTTGACAACTGTCTCTCTGTAGTTCAGTTGGTTAGAGCTTGACAACTGTCTCTCTGTAGCTCAGTTGGTTAGAGTTCGACAACTCTGTAGCTCAGTTGGTTAGAGCTCGACAACTGTCCTCTGTAGCTCAGTTGGTTAGAGCTCGACAACTGTCTCTCTGTAGCTCAGTTGGTTAGAGCTCGACAACTGTCTCCCTGTAGCTCAGTTGGTTAGAGCTCGACAACTGTCTCTCTGTAGCTCAGTTGGTTAGAGCTCGACAACTGTCTCTCTGTAGCTCAGTTGGTTAGAGCTCGACAACTGTCTCTCTCTGTAGCTCAGTTGGTTAGAGCTTGACAACTGTCTCTCTGTAGTTCAGTTGGTTAGAGCTCGACAACTG